CTCCTAAAGTGAAAGAAATGCCATTAGAATGAAAAGTCACAATAGCTACCCACCGGAAAAAATCAATAATTATATCTTTTCTCTATTTTTTTAATGGTTAGCAAGTTGTCTGGAATTGTGCAGGGATAAAGAACCTGAGAGTTGTCTGACCTACTTATACAGAAAATGAGCAAAACCAAAGAGTCAAGGAAATTCAGTGCACAGCTACTTTGAAGGAGGTGAGTAAGTGGCTACCTGCCTGGAGGGGTCTGAGATGACTGAGGTCCCTCAAGCCTCCTGATTGGTGCCAGACTCCCCTCCTCTCAGTAATGGTATTTATCACATTGGACAGCAAAAGTGGTGGGTTGTGGGAAGGATATTTTTTCCTGAGGGCATAGTTAAAAGTCACAATAATTTCCTTTCATGGCCTGTCCTAGGAACTTGGGAAGAAAGGGGTATCTGGAATTTTTCATGTCCAGACTTCTTCAGAAGTTAAAATACCAGACCTTTGTTTTTCTAACACTTGTCAAAGAAGTGAATTCCTTAACTGTTCCACATAATTATCCTATCCAATGGGCAGGGACATGTCTTTAGTGAAAACATACCAGAGGAGAGGAATGTCACCCACTTAGGTGGAGTCTGATGGGTGTAAAGGAAGTCCCCCAGGGAAGATGATATCTCTGCCCTAATTTTTTAAAAATGTGTAGGTGTTAGCTAGGTGATAAAGAGGGAATGTAGTGAAAAGAACTACCTCATGCAAGGCCTACAGCATGAGGAAGCATGGCACATTGGAGTTCTGCAAGATGTCACCTAAGGCTGGCTGGTATAGAGAATATTGCAGATAGGGATTCAGGGTGCTATTCTCTAGGACAGTGGCAAACCAAATTTTAGAGTTAAAACAAAGTTTTAAGAGTAAGAGTAATTTTGAGGTCATCCATATGAGAGTAGATGTAATATCACTGCATATTAATATAAAATATTTGAAATGATAAGCTAATAAAAATTCAGGAATGTTTTTAAGTGAATTTGTATTTGCTTTAAAACTTGAATATTTAAAATAGTACATGGATTTGGAGGTGTTATTCAATCAATGGGTAGTGAACAGTGTCTATGTGTCTTTACAAATCTACAAGACTCCCTTTGTACCCTGGGACAGGAACCTATCAAGACCATGAAAACTCATCGAAGGGTTTTAAAGAGGGGAATAGCATGATCAGATAAGTCATGAGAGAAGTAACATGATCAGATAAACACTCTAAGCTGTTGAAGATTTTGTGTTACTCCTCCTAGGCGAATTTACATTTAAGAAAGAACAATGATAGACAATGCCTAACAAAAATTGAAAGTTGAAAATGGTAGTTTGCAATTGGTAGTTAAGGAATTTAGCATGAGAACTTTTCAAGTTCTTCAAATCCCAGTAAAGAGTAAAACAATACCTAATAGTTGCTAGAATAATATGTAGGATAAAAGACTGTTCTATGTCCATAAATCTTTATTTATTATTCAGTGCTGTCAGGGAATGAGGCCATATATAACGTATACGGATGATCAGTTTTCAAAAAATAAGGTTACAATAGACAGACCACTATTTCCCTCAATCAATGCTATCGTCCCCTCAGTCGAAACACCCTCTCCCTCTGGCTGTCTTCAGGAAAGTCTTAAGAATTAAGCAATGTGTATCATCCTCCTAGATTAGTCACATTAAGGTATGAATAGCTAATAACTTTCTAACAGGATATTTTACTTTTAAAGGTGTAGTTTGTTAAACATGAAGGATATCTAATTGGGAAAATTATTAGAGGAACAGTGGACAGGAGTACACTTTTGAGAAGCACAGTTTTTCTTGGCCATCCCTACCCTACCATTTCTCTAGTATCTTACATTCTTTGATATCAACTTTCAGAACACCTATTATTATAGATATGTGAATAAGGCATAACTCGAATATTGTTCCAAAGAAAAAATACCACAGAATGGGAATCAGATCATTGGTAAGAAGCATGCTGTTATCCAGACATATAACTTTGGACAAATCATTTCGGCTCAGTGAGTCCCAATTTCCTTATCTTTAAAATGAAGACAGGGAAGAATAATTTCTAAGGATGGCAGAGTGGGCTTTTGTGTGTGACTGTGTTGCTGGACTGATCAGGGCAGTTCGCTGATCTGACTGGCCAGGCAAGTGGGTGCCTCCTTTGCTCCCACGGCCTCAGGTGTTTTCAACCCCCATACCCCCTAGGTGCTGGTATCTCAGCTGAAGAGAACCTTTGCAGAGAGCGAAGGACTGGACTTTCATCCTAGGCATATGAGAGCATTTGTGATGTCTATTCCAGCTCTGACATTTTCTGAATCTGGATTTTTCTTATCACCTGGAAACCATGCCCCATAGACATAACAGAAGCCGGCGGATAACAGGAATTCTTGAGCTCGTCTTGCAGAACAACAGATAGGGGAACAGCTTGTTAACACCCCTCTGCCTGTAAACTACCTTTCCTGATTAAGCTCACTTTAGGTTAATTTTTCCTTCTTTCTCCACCCACCCCTTTAATTGTATACCTTCCCAGCTTCCTATAACTTCAGGAACTAGGAGTCAGCTCTTGTCCAGTGTGAGCCAGTTAAGGCTGGTTGGGGCCACCGATCCTAAAACTGGGCCTGAACAGCTGTCTAAGGAATGGCATTTTGACATCAGAGGGCTGGAAAGCTCCAGCTTCAGATCATGCTAAGTACCTCCATCCTGAACATGCAGACACATGTAAACAAGATGCACCTGTGCAGAACACCGATTCCCTCACCTTTTCTCTACATCCAGCCACCTTTCCCCATGTCTAAGACCACCCTGCTTATCCCATAAATATCCCAACCCCCTCACTTTCAGGGAGATAGATCTGAGACATGTTCTCCCATTTCATCGCTTGGCTGCTTTGAGAATAAACTGTTTCTCTGCCACAAACCTTGGCATGTCAGCATTTGGCTTACTAAGTGCCAGGCGTACAGACCTGATTCTGGAACGACCCCTGTTCTCGTTGTCAGTAGAAATGTGAGTGAAACTCAAGTAGACATATTATGGCTTTCACTGATAAATTAAAAAGTAGTCAAAATAAATATTCAGTTAACAGAAATACAGGAATATCCATCTTCATTCATCCTTATTCATTAATGACCCTGGACTCCAGTTCCTATTTAAATATCTGTGATGTTCCATAAGGATTCTACTTAGAAGCCAAGAGGCTTTGGGCTTTTCGTGGCTCAATCTGAGGCAAAGCATCTATTCGTCACAGGCCACAGACAGGTCCTTCTAGCAGCAGACAAAGCACCACTTCTTCAAAACATAACTAAGACTTCCAAAGTCACCTGTGGGAGAGCATACCCACCCCTGCCTGCCTGTCTGTCACGCACTCTGCATCCTCCCAAGGTGGGAGTACTTTGGAAATGTGACATTAACTAAGAGACCCGGCGGCCTGGCCATGAGGCCTGGCTCCCAAGGATTGAGTGAAGACTGCCTCCTAATAAGCTTGGCTTTCTGGTACAATTTCCATCCACATTTCAAATTGTTTTTAATGAGTTTAAACATTGAGAAGGTAGAAATAGACTAAAAAGTGGAAAGGCATGGAATTTGGACCAGGAATTTGCTAGATGAAACGAATTTACATGTAGAATACACTGAGACATTGGGAAGCCATCTGAAGAGTTAAGGTATTTGGAAAGTGGTTCGTGAACAAAATAATTTTCAAGATACAGCTGATTTAGAAAATGTAAAATGAGCAAAAGGCACTTTGTAGATTGGAGAGCTTGGAGAACATGGCTTACATCACTAACATGATAGAATGGACTCCCACTAGGGCAGGGGTGGATTTAACCTGTTTTACTCAAATTAGAACCAGTAATCTTAATGTTTGAGGGATCACGTGTGGTTCCTTTTTTTTTTTTTTTTGGCGGTACGCGGGCCTCTCACTGCTGTGGCCTCTCCCGTTGCGGAGCACAGGCTCCGGAAGCGCAGGCTCAGCGGCCATGTCTCACGGGCCCAGCCGCCCCGCGGCACGTGGGACCTTCCCGGACCCGGGTACGAACCCGCGTCCCCTGCATCTGCAGGCGGACTCTCAACCAATGCACCACCAGGGAAGCCCAGCGTGTGGTTCCTTTGGTTGAATGGATCAACAGCAGTCTGAGAGGCAATCTGACCTGTAAGCTTTATTCTGCCACTGATTCACACAATGACCTCGAGGCATCACTTCTCTGTAGGGGAGATAAAAGTGTTAGTGATCTTTGATCTAATAATGCTTCTTGGTGGAAACTGTCAGAAAATCATCCAAGATAATTCAAATAAAGAGGAGAATAGAATAGATGGTACTGAAATGATCCATGGTGATTGCATCTACATTAAATATACCTAGGCTTCATGGGAACTGTGAATGAGAACTTGGAAACTGTCACAGGCCAAGCAGACATTCTCTAATCTCTCAATTCCTCTCTCCCATTCTCCCTTCACATGGATTCTCATCATTGTTTCTCTCTATAAACTGATTCTATTCATGCCTCTTTCTGTATACAAACTTTCCCTTTCATCCACTCCCAACCCCACTAGTTGTATAATCTGAGGCCATTACCTAAGCTATCTGAGCACCAAATCTAAGGACATAGAATTGAGTTGCTTGCAGTGGCACATGGTTTTCAGATCTTTCACCAGTGCAGGAAGAAAAAGGAATAACGATACTCACTGAATATTGCTGGGTCCAAATGGTATAATGTGCTCAGTCAGTGCTAACAGTGAATACCTGCATCAATAAGGTGTTGCCATCTGAATCCAAGGGAAAGTAGTAAACAGAGTGTATGAATATTGGGTACTTTGTGTCTCCCTTTCTGAGTTTAGCTTGTCAGGCTGTATTACAGTTGATATTTATTAGGAGAGGGATCCTCCCAATTGATCAAGGGCTCACCTGGTATAAGGAGCAAAGTGAATAACAAGCCTACCTTAAGATAGAGTTTCATATCAAGAATGTTCAGGAGTCAAGAAGGACTCATATGAGGTTATTATATAGATATATATTTAATAGAATATATGTGATTGTGGTTACAGATACATATTTGGTGCTTTATCAAGAAGTATGAGTTACATAGTATACAATGTATTGGTTACAAAATTAGAAGATAAACACATTGTTTCTAAATGAAAAACTTATAGGATAAATGCTGACAAATGGATTTCCAAACCTTTCATTTCTACACTTTTCTCTGGGCTGGTCTCCTGAAGATGAGTTGCGAGTTGCAGCATTCTTAAAAAATTTAGTCCCCCCAAATTCTAATAACGTATGACATGAAAAGAACTTTTGGCAAAAATTATCCAGATTACTTCTCTCCATTGGAAAAGTTTTCAGCATTTCCCATTGTTTTGTCTATGCCTTAGTTTATACATTTTCCTAGATAGTGAGTTAAATGCTTTTAATTGTATTCATTATTAGATAACAGCGGTTAGACTCAACTATTTAAAATGTATCCTCGTACAGGGGGAGAAAAGAAATGGAGATATAGGTGTGAGACAGAAAGGAAAATTGTCTCAGGTGAAAAAACAAGAGGCTTATCAAACTGGATATCAATGTTGGTTTTGTAGCTTCTCTACTAGAAATGATTATTATTAAACTGTGAGGTGAGGATAATATTCCAAAGTTCGGGTTGTCTGTCTCTTTCCCTTTACTCTCTGCTATGAGTTTCCATTCAAAGCTACAAATGTCTCTGTTGGAAGTCTTGATCTTTTCAGTTCCAGTATGCTGGGGAGAGCCTTTCTTTGGATATCTATTGCTCTGGTCGGCCATATAACCTATTTGAATGAAAATATGTTTAGCACAATGAGTAGTTGCTAAATTGCTAAAGAGCCTTATCCAAGGCAAGAATTGAACACACTCTTATAGAATGGAGAGCCTGGAAAACCCATACACTGAGATGTATCAAGACATCGTGTCCAGAACCTACAGAGAGTTGCCTGGCCCTTGGGTTTGGACATTTGGATGTTAGAAACTGGGTTCTCCATGCTCTGCTCTCTGGCACATGCAAGCCCACTGGGGAAAGAAAATCTTCCATGTTTCTTCTTTTATCTAATCAAGAATCCCTAGGATATTAAAATGGATTTTCACATCAATCTGCATTGTTAGTCAAGAAAAGCCTTCCTGCAAGTCTTGATGGTGACAGCAGAAACTATTTGATTTTCAATCAAGTGGAGCTGCTCTTAAATGTCTCCTAGTGAATGGTCTCACTTTGTAGGTCTGGGCACTTACTTCTTTACCACTTCCCATCTCTCCTTTCCCCCCTTTCTTTTCTCATGACCCTATTTCTCACAAACTTGCTAAATTACCAGGAAACAAGGAAAATACCCTGCTAGAGGGAATGATTTCAGGGATAAAAATGATTCCTCTGAAATGATTTTGAAATGATTCAAAATCATTTTGAAATGATTCTCAAATTATCAAATTTGTGATGGGACGGATAGCTTGACAAAGCCCTGGCAGAGAATGTTTACTAGTTTACAAATTGATGTACTAATGGTCAAGTTTTTATTGAAACTTCTGGATATCTATTATTCTTTGGGAAATAATAACAAGTCCACCCTGTTGAAAGGGAGTGTATACAGAGAGCACATCAACCAAGCACAATCCATGGCTTCGTAGAGGACAAAAGTAAAAACAATTTCTTTAACAACTTCTTCTCTTTATGCACTAAAAACTGAAATCTGCTTAAAGCATAATTTATACCATAGAGAATTAGAGTACATAGGTGGTATGGGGAGTGGGGCACAAAATGTTTTCATAAATTTGATTCTATTGATTTGAAAGCAAAGTTACTGAAACATCTCAGTTCTGCATTTCAGAAGATGTCTATCTGAGAGAAAGAAAATGTGCATGTGTGTGCATGTGTGCGTGTGTGTGTAGGGAGTTGTTCACATGAACAAGCATTGCTTTAGCAGATGAACATGGAACACAGCCTCCTAATGTACTCTGAGAGTCTGTCTCTTTCTTCTGGTCAAGTTTAGATCCTAATCAGACACCAACCACAACCACAAACTATATCAAACCCAGGCAGAAAAACAGGTTATGGTGGTTACCTGACCTACCTACCAATCTTAGGTTTCTCTCAAGGATGAGAAGCATATACTCCTATTCCCATTGACTACCTCTCTACATTCCAGATTCACTTATGACTGTTACATTTTCACAAGGGAGGAAAATGTCAGCACCACAGGGCTCTCTCCTGCATTGAGTTTCATACTTTCCCAGGCAATTTACTCAAGGGAGAGTGGGGAGGAAGGGGAGGAGGCAAAGGGAGTGATAAACAGATGTTACACATTTTCTTTCCTGGAAAGTTCATCCCAGTTTTCCTAATTTCCCAAAATTTAAAAGAATGTTTATTTTTTGTGTGTTACTATGGCAACTTCTAGCAGCTCAGTTTTTTTTCTAAGTTTAAAAACACCAAAGATTTCAAAGAATTTTCTAGGGCAATTTTTATACATTTGCTTTTTCATTTTGGGCTGTGATATTTGTACTCCTTTTAATTTTATTATTTAGAAGAGTGTGTGTGTGTGTGTGTGTACGTGTGTGTGTGTGTGTACTGCTTTAAATTTAAAATCATATTTACATATATATTACATGTCACCGGTTGACTGCAAGGCATTCATGCTTCTTGTAGCCTTTACAGCATTGTCCTCCTGGTGCTTTTCCTGCCCTCTGCCTCCTGGGTTCAGCTTATGAAAAGGTGAAGGTCCTTCTTATCCTCCACTGACAATTCTACCACTTACATAGGATGTGCAGTCAGTTTGTGAATACAGTCAGTCCGAGTCTTTGTCATATCAACCATCTTGGTGAACTCTGTAATCTCTAGTTAATTCTCTGGGTATTTTCAAACATTTTGTTGTTTCAAATAATATGAATAAAATATTTGAAATATTAATGACATCAAAATTTTTCTTAAAAATGTTTTGGCATTCAAGAAAAACATAACTCACCTAGATTCTTCAGTTCTTAAATTTTCTAGCTGCATTAGCAAGTAAAGGATTGGTGATTTTATACTGATTTGGGGCAGCATAGACAGATGCTGAGGATGGTTGTGCTGGGAATTCTTGTTGTGAGTTGCTTGTCACTCCTACACGAATAGACATGGTGAGAACTTCTTTTTCATGCTCACAATGTTGGTCTGGCCTAGCTGTCGACTGCTTGATGACGGAGTTTCTCTGAAGTGAGCAATACTGACAAATATGAATGAACTCATACCAGACTAGCAAGAGTTGGCAGTAGACCCAGTCACTCCGACCCACTTTCAGAGTTTGAAATGGCAAGTATTCAGGAAGGGCACATTAGCCTTAAAAAAAAAAAAAAAAAAAAAAAAAAAGGAAAACCCAACAAATACAGTCAGTGTTTACTCAAAGAATACAGTCATATAGTTGCTTCGCTTTCAATACTCTTAGGAATTAAGTGAATAAATGGGCTACAAACATGTGAAACTAGGAGTGTGTGAAAGAAAAAAAGAAACAAAAGGAGTAAATACAAGACTAAACAATGTAGTCTTCTATTTAAACATTTCAGATTTTTATTAGTCCTTTAAAAATTACTTGTTTAGTTAACTCTGTGTCCTCACCTTGGTTATATTCATACATAGTTTGACTCTATTACTAGATTATGTAAATCATTGTTTAATCAAATCTACTAAAGATAAGAAAAAAATTCTAGCAAGACTTATAGTAAGGAAATACAGAATTAAAAGTTTAAACCTACTAAAAGTACCATGGCTTATCAATTGGTTGTGTGTAAGGCATGTTAGGGGTATAAATGTGCGTTTTGACTATAAATACAATTCATTAATGCAGGGAGCAAAATAGGGAGGGAAGTGAGGGGTTGCTAAAAGATCAGATTATTTTGCAAAATGCAGGGTACTTTAAAATTTTTATCTCACTTAGAACGTCTCTGCCTTTAGTCAAATTAAGTTTTCCAAAGATAATTTGGTGTTTTAAAGATAATCGTCTTTTACTAAACAAACTGATGGCATCATAGAAAAACTAACCATTTTAGGCTTGACGAGATTTTCCCATCTTAGTGTACAGCCCTCTTGATATTGAGGTGGGAGACCACTGCAATGAGTAGCAACTGTTTTATATGATTGGAGTCAGAAATTTTGGAATTTTATACTCACATGAATTTTAAATAATTTGAAAATGGAAACTTTGTGCCTACATACTAGAGGCATAGCTACATACTAGAGGCATAGTAGTCCCTTGTCAATCTCAGGTCATTGATTTAATACAGAATTTGGTAACTTTATGCATGGGAAGGTATGAGGGAAGTATAGGGAAAGAAGTTATATGGATGGCATTCAGATTGATTTTATATAAACACAGCATATTTATGTATCTATATCTCTTGTTTATAATCTCTAGCTAACACAAAGATGCTCTCAGAAGAAGATCAATATTTTTTTAACAACGTATTTGCTTAAAAAATCCAATAGTGGCTCTGCCTCATAAAATGCTTAGCAACTTTTACTAACCAAGTTCAGAAATAATGAGAGGGGTGACCCCCTCATGGATCAGAATTTTTTTAAAAATGAGATCAATTAGTTTCAGTTGAAATTGGTCTTGCCACATCCACATTCTTTTTCATACCAATTTAGGGGGAGATCCATTACCTAATGGACCTACATTCAATGATATCATATTCTTATCTTATATTTCCTTTGATAGATTTTTTTTCTGTCATTCTGATTGAGTTTCACAACAACATACAAGAGTAGAGCTTAATTAAGAATGGGGGCAGGAAGAGGAAATTGGAAAAGGAAGGCATTTGGGCAATAGATAAACATCCAGAACAATGTGGGCAAAGGAGGAAGCAACACTCTCTGGGGTTTTCCATTTGAGAGTTTTTGAGCAAAAGCTGCTATAGGAAAATATGTGGGTTGCTGGAAAGTGCAGGGTTATTGTGGAGGAAATAACTGTCAGGATGATTCTCACAGACCAACTACATTGCTACTTGATGAACTCCTGATAAAACCCAGAGCGCACAAAGCGAGGCAGTGAATCCTTTTCCATCAGGGCATGGATTCTTTTCTGGGCCACATCAAAGCTGCTTGGGGAAGGTTCCGCCAGGTTCTTCACTGTGATGTCCTTCGTGAAATGATCAATATTCACCTATGAGACAGGAAACAGGGTCACTGAGTCAGCCAGGTTATGGGATTTGAGGAGGGCTTGGGAGAGAAGTGGAATTTCTCACCAGTATAACACACGAGGGGAAGAGAGTCATAGCAAGTGAGAAATATCATTTCTACTTTATACGCAGTGGGGTAAGGCAACTTCAACAAATGCTTCAACAAATGCATGACTCAGATTAAGATCAACCAGTGATAGACACCCACTGTTAGAAACAAGCAGCCAACACATGCAGACCTCATATAATCCTCACAATAACCCTAAGAATGAGTCTTTCCTTTTGTAGGGGAAAGATAGATAGATAGGTAGATAGATAGATAGATAGAGACTTCTTCAAGATCACAGAACGAATAAACGTATTTGAATGCAGAGACTCTGAATTTGAATCCAAGTATCCTGATGCCTAATCCCACAATCCTCCTACCACAGCATTTTGTTTCACACCTAGTGGGGAAAATGAAGAGAGAGAAAGAACTTCTGACCAGGAATCCAAGAACTTTTGCATCGTTCTCGAAGAATAAAGAAATTTGGTCTTTTCCTGAAACTAAGTGGGAAACAATGGTTCTAGTGCAACAATAATAACAATAGCAGCTAATACTTAATGAGTGCAGAGAGCTTAACTTTTACAGGCACTGTGCTATGAATTCATTGAATCTTACAACTCTAGGAGGCAATACTGACACCTACATTTGACACCTGAGGGACAGAAATGTTAAGTGACTTGCCCAAGATCATAAGTGGTAGAGAGAAAACTCAAAAGCCCAGCAATGTTGCTTTTACCCAGTAGACTGCAGTGTTGGAAGGCATTATGGCGTATTTGTCCTGAATGCAGGGCTACTACATCGAGCCATTCCCAGGGACACCATTCATGTTAGGGTCCGTGTAAATGGCCCCTGGAGTTGTACAGTGTACAACCTGCCTGGACTTGTCTGAGTATGATTTGAGAGAAATCACTGTACAACACGTAGTATGTTTCAATGACTCTTAAGGTGTCTGCATGTAAAAGAGAAAGAAACAAATCAACCAATATTTTGAATTGGAACATGAGAAAATGTTTTAGGTCTCTCCTGGCCTGCTAGAAGTTCTTGATACTGAGAAAAGCTATTTGGGCTCAGAGAATTATGCAGCAGCTTTAGGTCAGAGTCAGGGACAAAGACATGATTGGGGAGTACCAGGCCAGAACACACAGGAGTGACTGTGACTGAAGGTCCAGGATGAAGTGAGTTGAGGCTATGACATGTTTTCCACAGGTGAGAGGGGCCTGTGTGCTTTATGCAGGAATGGCGGAAGACTACGCAGACAGCACTGGAAACAGCCCCAGAGGTGAGGTAGTCTGACTCCTGCCTTCACGGTTGAAGACTCCGAGACCCAGAGAGGTCGTTACAGGCCCACAAACAGCTAGTGAGGGACAGAGGTGAGGCTGTCATGTATATTTCTCTATTCTCAGTCTGTTATTCTTCTCACCACACGAAAGCGATATTTCTTCCTGCTTTTAAATATATACTGAGCTAGGTGGCAGCCTTACTCAAATAGTTACATTTCTAAAAATTATAGAATTATCTCCTAATCCTATTTTTTAAAGAAGTGATGTATTTAAAACTTTCTAACACATTGTATGCACCAGCAAAAGCAGCTATTTATCTTATAAGTTTTATGTGCATGGGCTCTTCTAATGAATCATTTTGATATATACTCGTCCGTTTACTAGAGAGCCAAGAAAATATTTTTCATTAATTTAAAATATGGACAGTTGACAATCTGCAGTATACGAGTTTTCTACTCATTGAACTACGCAGGGTCACTTCTCTTTTTTTAATCTTAGTTCCAATTTTTTTACAACTGTATCTCTCCTTCAGTTCCTTATCTTAAAGAACTGAGGTGAATATTCAGAGAAAGAAAATTTAGATTACTATTTGCCTGGGTAGATTTGTTTTATAGGTCAATCTGCTGGTCACCAAAATGAAATAGTAAATTTGGGGGTCAAAATACAAGAGTTGGAGAATTTTAAAAATAACAGCTACAATTTATTAAACATCCTCTAGGTACACATACATATATGTGAGATGATTACAGTAGTTAAGGGAACAGAGAATTAGAGAGCTTTAGTGAGAAACTTGCCCAAAGGTACACATTGAGAAAGGTCTGGGTTGGGACATCTGCACCCATTCATCTCACAAATATTCACTGAATGTTTATTATGTGTCAGGAGTGATCCACATTCTCTCTGATGCCCAGCTCAGAGACTGGAGGCCAAGGCTATTTTATTTTGAGCTCACAGGTCCTCATAATGAGGGCCACCATTTGTGTGTTCTAGTAACTCAGCCAGGGTTTTGTTTATTTTGAAACTTCATTTTTTTTTTTTTTTTTTTTTTTGCTGTATGCGGGCCTCTCACTGTTGTGGCCTCTCCCATTGCGGAGCACAGGCTCCGGACGCGCAGGCTCAGCGGCCATGGCTCACGGTCCCAGCCGCTCCGCGGCATGTGGGATCTTCCTGGACCGGGGCATGAACCAGTGACCCCTGCTTCAGCAGGCGGACTCTCAACCACTGCACCACCAGGGAAGCCTTTGAAACTTCATTTTTAATGTCTCATATTTTCATGATAAACATCAATTTTCTAGTAAGGAACCTCAAGAACAAAATTTTCCTGGAGCTCAAAGCAATAGTCCAGATGAGTCTCCACGATGTGCAGATATTGCAACAAATCCTAGACTTCTGTAAATAGGAATGATGTTGGTAGGAAGATAGGCTGGAAATGGGAGATCAGTTGAAGTCAGAAAATGGGTGTCAAATTTAATACTAATCTCCTTGGTAACATCACAAATAGAGATTCCACGTGGATAGAAGAATAATGTCCCAGCACAAAAGGCATCAGAAGTAGGGGAAGTTAACATATATGCATAGGGTGGGAGCCTGAGGAGTAGAACAGGAGATCTGGATAAGATTCCACAGCAAGACTAAGCCCAGTTCCATCTTAGGACTCTCACTTTCTCCACCTTGACCCATGGTGCTCTATACTCTCGTGCTCCTGACCTCTACCTCCTGTGTCATGGAGGGAGCTCATCTGTTGGTATTAGGTATATAATTTGTCCATCCATTCAAACATATTTATCTTTCAAAAAGGATCAGTGATGAATAATGCATTACCAAAGGAATAAATATCGAATGGTGGGACCTCAAGAGTCTAGAGCACCTGAGAGAGAAAAAGGGTATTGGGGTTTTCCCCTCTCAAATAATCTTAAGTTAATTACTGCCTACCTAGAGGGTTTGCTCAGATCACCCCTGTGATTGACCCCAAATCTTGATGAAATGTTTGACGTCCAGATTGGATTATGGGGTGCAATGTGAAATTAGTGACCTGACCAAAACATGATGAACAGGTCTTGCTGAGGCCATCCTGAATTCCACAGAAAGCCTTTTCAATTCAGTTTCATAAACAGCAAAGGGCAGATAAACTACGCCAAATCCTCTTTGAAATCAACACACATCTTGTCTTTAGCAGTCAGTTAATGGTACATTGTCTTCTGACATCTCTAGCACTATTATCTTGTAATCATTTGATTTTTGTAAGTAGAAACCCTGTTTCCCCTGACTAGAGTGTAAATGGAAAAGGCCTGGGGGAACCAACGGGATGGGGGAGAATAGAAGGGAGAAGAGAGAGTTTTCATAAGAAAAGAAAGGGAAGGGAGGAGAAGGGGAAGAGGGAAGAGGAAGAGAGAAGAAATTAAGTGGTAGAAACATTCAGTAAGCATTCATTAGTTCAAATGCTGAGATATACATTTTCACTCCGCTCTTTAATTTCATCCTCACAACAATAGTGCAAAAATAGCCTTCATTACCCTCATTTTTCCCAAAGAAAGAAACTAAGTTCAGACAGACTCAATCATTTATCTAAGATCATACAACTAGTATCATTCTGACTTGCGATTACATACTACTGAAAAGAGACCCATGATTGCTTAGAAAGTGACCTAAACAGAGTTCAAGTTCATACCTGCTCGACTGTATTGCTCTGCCTTTCCACTCAGTAGGCGCTTACGAAAGGTGGCCCACTCTCAAATAGGAATAGCCTGTGGCTGCAAAGCGTACTGACATTGGAAATCCTTCCTGGGAAGTTGTTGAGCTGACCACACTCACCCACCTTCCCATCAGGACCAACCTCTTTAGGAGCCTCCGCTTGGATGAATTCTTCATAAATCTTCTTTGCCTTCTCAGCCATCTTGACAGGGGACTTGATCTTCTTGTAATCCTCACAGGCCATCCAGAACTCAAGGTTTTCCTCACTAAATTCAGACCTCAGGAAACTTTTGAAACTGGCAAGTCCGTCTAGCAAGGAAAAAGGTTATTTGAGGAAATGTATTCACCCTATCTATCTATCTATCTATCTAACACTATATCCCACGTTGTAGCCTAGGTTTATTTACTATATATTCCTGTCATTTATGCCATAACCTTACAAAAGTTAACTCATTTGCTCCTCATTACGAATCTATTTTACAAATGAAGTCAGAGAGATCAAGTAACTTGCCCTTAGTTAACCAGCTGGTAAGTGGCAGAGCTGGGATTCGGATCCAGACAGTCTATACTTAGGTGATGAAGGTTTACCTGTATACAACAACCAGGGACACTGTGAACACTAATG